TTCCTCATCCTCTCTGTGCCTCCCTCCCCATTCCTCCCTTTGTCCTACCTTCTTTCCCTGTCCCTTTTTCCTCTTCCTCTCTCCTCCTCTCTGTATCTCCTTCCCTTTCTTCTCAAGGTTTGGCATGATAGGAAAGTAGGAAATGACATAGAATGAAGGAGCTGGAGGGCAATACTTCTTGGTGGTTCTATTAGGGTCCTCTAGAGGGAAAAGAACCTTTAGAATTAATTTATGTATATATATTATATGTATATATATTAATTACAAAGCAGATTTACTAGATTGGCTTAATATGATACAGTCTGGGTATTCCAACAACTTCTGTCTGCACACTGGAGAAGCTGAGAACATGGTAGATGCTCAGTCCATGAGGCTGGATGTCTCTGTGATCCCAATCTCATGCTGAAGGCCTGGAGGACTCCTGGTGAGCCACTGGTCTTCAGTCCACATTGAGAGGAAGAAGAAGGTGGGTTCCATTCTCAGCAAAGAACTGAGGCAGCAGCAACAACAGAGTAGGTTCACCTGCCAGCAAGGAGCAAAGGAGGTAGGTCAGGCAAAAGGTGCCAGCTTTCCTTCAGCCCTCCTCATGTCTGGGCCTCTGCTGGAAGGTGCTGTCCACTCTGGGGGAGGGTCCTCCCTCCTCAGTTCATCCTTCCAGGAAATAATCTTACAGACCTACCCAGAGGCATGTCTCTTAGTTGATTCCAAATCCAGTCAGGCTGGTAACCAGGATAAACCATCACATTAGCCAAACTAAGATTTGTGAAGAACTGAGCTACTATTCGGTTCTTAGCTGTGTGGCAAAGGAAGCTGCTGAGGTCTGACATTCTTACTTAGAGCACTAGTTTCTTGGGTGGAGACTGAGGAAAAGAGTGTGTTGTGACTTCTTGTTGATACTTGGGTATGCTTATGTGATAAGAGTCTTTGATAAAGCTCAGTGTACCCTCACAAGGGGGCACAGCAGGGCTTCAGGGCAAACAGAAGCCTTGATCAGGCATTCTAAAGACTGCAGGAAGCCATTTCAGAATTCTAGGAAACTGTGGAAGCTTCTGCAGGTATGCATGGGTCATCAAGGCTCTGTACTTGGGTTGGAACTAACTCTGCTTCATGCCAGTCTCTCTTTGGATAGCCTTCTATTTCACTACTTAAAGCTTCTCATATTTATATTTTAAAAATATTTTTATATCCTCTTTGAGAATTTCAGACATGCATACATGCATATTTTTTGTTTTATTTTTCTATATTATTTTTATTTTATGTGTATGTATGAGTGTATTGCCTGCATGTATGTAACTTCACCTGTGTTGTGCAAGGCCCATGGAGGTCAGAAGAGCCAAATTCCCCCGGAACTGGAGTTATGGACAGTTGTTAGCCACTGTATGGGTGCTGGGATTTTAACCTGGGTCTTCTGCAAGAGCAGCCAGTGCTCTTAACTGCTGAGCTATCTTTCCAGTCTCAAATACAGTATATTTGGTCATATGATAGCCATCCCCTTCTCCCTCTTCCAGCTCCCCCTAGAAAGCCACCCCCAACATGTCCTCCAAACTTCCTTTATGTTCTCTGTTTTTTTTTTTTTTTTTTTTTTTTTTTGAGACAGGGTCTCACTATTCAGATCTGGTTGGTCTGGAACTTGGTATGTAGACCAGGCTTGCCTTGAACTTACAGAGATCCCCCTGCTTCTACCTCCTGCTCTTTAAAAAAATTATCTTTACAACTCATTGAGTCTAACTACTGCTCTGGACCTCTCCAGTTCCCTCCACTTTATTTTTTGAGAAAAAGTCTCTTCACTGAAACTGCAATTCATCCTTTTGGCTATGCTCACTGATTAGGGAGCCCTAGGATCTGCTTGTCCAACCCCCTAGAGCTGGGGTTACATAGATATGGTGCCATACTTGGATATTTTTATATGGGTACTATGGATCTGAACTCAGGTCCTCATGCTTGCACAGCAAGCTCTTTACCCACTGAGCCATATCCTCAGCCCCCTCTTCTTTATGGTGCTGGGAATCAAACCTAGAGCTTTGCCCATGCTAGTCAAGTACTCTACCTTTGAGCTATGGCTCAGATCTCACTTTTTCCATTAAAATAATCCTTCCACATTGGACTTTATTGAATTAAAAAAAATCTGTTATGCTTTATTAATGTATACTTTATATATTATAAAGATCATTTAAGTGTCCAAATCAGTCAGGTTGATAGAGCTGTACAAATATCACCATGGGCTAATTTTAAGCCATTTTTTTTTTTTTTACCAATTATTCGCTGATAAATCATTGAACTAATTAGAACTCACTCTCTTCACCCCTCCTAGGTCCTCTGAATCAAATCTACTTTTGTTTTCTGTAGATTTTCCTATTCTGCACACTGCACTTAAATGCAATCCTACCATAGTTTTTACTTTCTGGATTCTTTCCTTTGGCATAATGTTTTATGATATGACATAATGTTGAGGCCCATCTATATTTTAGCATATGTTAGTACTTTTTTTTAGTTACCTAATAACAACCACTTATCTGGAAATACTGCATTATTTTTACTCATTTATCAATCAATGGTATTTAGGTTGCTTTTAATGCAATTACAAATGGACTTGTTTTCGTTTCATTTCTGGCTTGCTGGATGGCAGTGTATAGAAATATACTTGAGTTTTTACTGGTCTTATATCTTGCAACCTTGTTGAACTTTAAAAAGTTACTTTTTAAAGTAGATTCTTTGGGATTTTTCTATTTAAGATCATGTCATGTGAGTAGAGGCAGTTTTGTTCCTTCCTTTCCATCTGGATGTCTTTTACTCTTCTCACACTTCCTTCTTTCCTCTCTCTTTTGGATGCTGTAAAGCTTCCTGGTTCAGACTCATTATCTTTGTTTCTCCTTTTTCTTCTTGTATGCTGTGAATTTCACACTTAAGTATGAGAAATACCAAAAATAGAGAAACGAGAGAGAGAGAGAGAGAGAGAGAGAGAGAGAGAGAGAGAAAGAGAGACTCTGAGTGACTCAAGTTGACCCCCCTTTTTTTTTTTTTTTGCTTGAGTCAAGCTTTGCAGTGTAGGTCCTATGTAGCTAATAAATGCTGCCTTTGGGTTTAATAGCCACTAAGAATCTATAGCCAAGGTTGTAAAGGAGGCCACTGGTTCTGGGTACTTCAGGAAGAAGCGTAGGTGTGACTAGCTTTGAAATTGACACAGGGAGAACAATATTGTTATGGTAGTCATGTTTCCAAGAATAAGACGCATTTTTTTTAGAAAGTTTCTTTCTAGTATTGTTTGAGATGGATTAGGAATTTGGAAGTATTTTTGGATCCTTTGTTGATAAGACCACTTACACGTGTTTGTGTCCTAAGTGAAGATACTTCCTTCTCACACTTAGCCTTCCCCATATTTAATATATGTGGTTGAGAGAGTGAGTTTAATATTTGAAGGAGGTAAATACATTCAAGATAGTGAGTGGTGATTTTCTCTCTACTATCCATAAGGAACCTTTTATTTTGTTTACCTGTTGTCTGCAGCACCCCCAAAACATGCCACATATGGGTTAAGAAGGGAGGGTGTGTTTGTGGAGGGGGAGGATCTAAACTAATGAATGACAATCCATAGGTGTTTTAGTTCCCTGTAGAAGAAAGCTTTATGGTATATAACTTGAGATCAGGCAAAGCAACAGATTCACAAAACTGTAAAACAATATAGTACAATTGGATGCACATATGTTAAGAAGAACTCAGGATGAGATGAAGTTAACACCCTACTAGGGATATAGAAATGGGAAAGACAAAATTTCTACCCTCAAGAGTCTGATAGTACCAGAGCAATAGCTGAAGTTGAAAAATGTTACTGTGATGCTGTGGGACTCTTTGGCCTAAGACAATGCCATGGTATGCTGTGGCCTGGGGCTTTTAATGTTGAAAGGGTATCATCATTGAGCTAGTTTTTTTCTCTTCCTCCTTCCCTCCCTCCTCCTCCCTCCCTCCCTCCCTCCCTCTTCTTTGTCCCTCTCTCTTACATAGCCAGGGCCTTGTGCATTGTACGCACTGCATATGCAGCCCCCGCATCTAATTTCTAAAGGATGTATTTTTGCCCCTGTAAATCCAAGAGCATATGGTAAATTTTCAGGTAACAGAGTGTTTAGCAAACAAAAAAGCAAAGAAACACTAAATATGTACATGAATAATCTAAAATAATTAAAGCTTTGTGGAGGTAAAATATTGAACTAGAAACTTTCCAAAATAGATGATCTCAGCTTTGTCTAAAGCAGCTTTAATTCTTTCAGTATTTTATGCTAAATTTATGCTCCCTTTGACAATTACCTCTTCTCTGCCAAATCATACTATTGTCTTTTTTAAGTGAGGTAGGAGGTGACGCAAATGTGGGAAGCAATGTTCTGTCTGCATGCTTGGTGCAAATAGTTTTTCCCCGTGATTTTTTCAAATGCAGATTTGAAAGCCATAACATTAAAAATTGCACTTTACTAAAAGATATGAAACAAATACATAGTTCGACAGGTAGGAACATAGGAAAATGTAGTCCCTCTTCCACAACGTTTAAGATTCAATAACGAAACGCTTAGTGTCAGAGGTTTGTATGCAGGAAAGTAAGAACATCTTGTTTAGGAAAGTGTACCTCTCACACACATTCAGTCATGAATTCCTTGGAGAGGCTGTGCTTTTTTCACTACTAACCTGTTTCCAGAATAAAGTTTGCAAAGCATGCTAGTTGGATGACAGAAGTTCTTTGAAAGTTCTGTTGGAAACCTCTCGGGCCATCAAGACTTCAGCTCCCAGAATGCTCTGCTCCCTTAGACCGCTCAGGAGCAAAGACCGAGAGTCCCAGCACCCTTCGCGCTAGATTCAGACTACAATTCCCACTACTCTCAGGGGCTCCGGAAGCCCCGTCAACCACTACCTGTTGCCATAGCATCCGGGTCCGAGACCACCAATCCGGGCGCTCCTTCTGAAAGGAGGCGGGCCTCTGCTATTTCAGGCCAACCCATGGCTCCTCGCTCCTGGCACGTGACCGGAGGAGGCGGGCGCTTAGGACCGGCGCCTTCTCCTTGCTTCTTGGGGTCGTGGCCTTGCTCCTGCTGAGCAAGCCCGGTGTCCCGGGCCTCCACTAGCGTGTGTGCGCGGGGGTCCTGACGTGCTCGTGGTTCCACGCTTGGACCCTGCGGGGACCGGAGCAGGAGCCATGGGCGGGACCGCCAGCACCCGCCGGGTCACCTTCGAGGCTGACGAGAACGAGAACATCACGGTGGTGAAGGGCATCCGGGTGAGTGCCGTGGGCGGGCGGAGGGCAGCGCCCTGAACTCGGACCCCGGCGCGCGGACGCCCCCGGGACCGCGCCGTCTGCTTTCTCCGCCCTCGACCCGTGGTGCTGCTCTGCTAGAAGTCTAGGTCTTTGAGAAGAAGTTTCAAGACTCGGAACATCCATTCAAGAGAAAGTTCTTGATGGTGTGCCAGGCGCTTAGGCGCTGTGCTGGGGCGGGTGCGGGATGCTGGGATGGATGGCCCTGGGTTCGGGTCTCCTCGGTCGTCGCTGCTGCACAGCTGCAGGGCTTTGAAACTCTTGCTGCATTGTGCGGGGCTTTGCCTCCTCTGTTCAGCACCTGCTGCTCCACTCACGCGTCTCTCAGGGTGGATCTGCGTTTTAAGGGTCTCTTACTTGCCTGACTTTTAATGCCTCTTCTGACACACGCCTTCCCACCCAGACACACATAGACTCCTTCACGCAAGTCATTTCTGACCCTCCTGGGTCACTTCTGGCTTTTTGTTCCTTCTTCCACCTGCGTTTTCCCAGCCCCCTCCCTGGTGGTGGTTGTGCCCAAGTTTTGAGCTAGGCTCAGTTACTACAGCCCTACCGTCTGCCAGCGTGATGTGGGCAGAGGTAGGTTTGCAGTTCTGCAGGCTAGCGGAATTAACAGTCAGTTTTGACCAAGAAGTTTAGAGACTTTTTTTTTTTTTTAATGTCCTTTACGTGTATGTGATACGTAACCGAAAACTTGATTTTTCTCCAGTACACCGGCACTAACTGCACTAACACCGCCGCTGCAACTGACTTTGGAGCTTCACAATTTTGGAAGTATGATCTTTACCTAGTAAATAAAGCACTGTGGTTTCAGAAAACTTTTATGAGAGTACTTCATATTTTCTGATTCTGTTATTACATAGCTAGCGTTAATGAACTCAATATGTAAGTTATATTTCAGCATTTGTTACGAGGAAATGAAACTTTTTAAATGTTTCAAATGTTTAAAAACTTTTTCCTCTGAAACTGTTACCTTGAAAAGAACTTATTAAAGTTTTCTTTATAGAAACTCAAGATTGTGGAATTCAGTTTTTGGTCCGTGACCAGCATTTCTTGCTATATTATTGAATGATAGAACTGTATTTGGTAATAAAATACCTGAGGCTGTATTCTTTGCAGTGTGGCTTAGCTGGTACTTTTGGGAGTACAATAAAAATTACTATAAACTCCTGAGTTTATGCAGAGATTAAAAAAAATCTTGCCATTAGGCTTTGAGTGTTCCATATTAGAGGGTGAAAAGAACTAAAAAATAAAATAAAAGCAAATTTAGTTTCAGGTGAGAAGATTCTGGTTAGAAAAATTCATAAGTGCATGTTCACTTGCTCTGTACAGACGCTGAGCACGACAAACCAAGCTGAAAGAGAATTTGGCCCCAGAATTTGTTTCAAATATTAGATGAGATTGAGAAAGTTAAACAGACGAAGTAGACACTTCACACAGTCAGATTGATTAGAAAACTTGGAAAAAATTTTTTGCTTAAAGCAACATATCCTTCAGCCTACAACTTCACAGAAGCTTGCTTTCTCTCTCTTAGGAGACATTTTATCTGTTCCATGGTTCCAGGCACACTCAGGCCTTTTGACTTGTAAACCCTTCACCTGGACATGCCCTTGTACTTGTTCTACATTGCTTCCTGCCTTTTTTTCCAAGGATGATTTGCAGTTTCCCTGAGCTTTATTCAGATTTCTTATCTGAGTATATCTCTCAGGTTTCTGAGCTTTTCGAGCTCTGAAATTGTATGAGCTCCCTGCTCCTCAGTTTCTTGAGGCCAAACTTGGCCTGTTGCAGTTTCCCAAAAAACTGGCATGCTGTTGAACTGTGAGAATTTGGAGGTCATTTTGATTTCTTTGAGGTCATGGCTGTGTGAATGGCCATGTGGAATTAAGCCAACCTCAGTTTAGTTTGTGACCTTGGACAAGTCACTTTTCTGATGATAATATCTTTCTCCATAAAGGGTAATGTCTTCACTTCCCTTGATTGGTTATGATGAGATAAGGTATGTAAAAATACTTGATACTTTGTAGATTTTTAAATAAAGAGCAGTCATTACTTTGACAGGGTTCCTTTCACATATAAAAGTACATGATTTTATGAAAGTGCTTTGTAGTGTAGAAAGAGCATTTAGAGTCAAACAGCCTGGTTCAGGTCTTAGCTTTACCTCTTGTAGCATTGACAAGTCACTTGATTGTATTTCTTTATTCAGCATTTCTGCATGACACAGTGTATTAAAATGTTACATGATGTGTATGTGCTATGCCCTGTGCTTAGTACTTTGTCAGTCTTTGTGCTTACAGTGGTAGCTGTTATTAGAGTTCCTTAAGAGAATGGATGCATAAACTTACATGACCTTAAAATAACTAAAGAATGAGAACTTTCGTGCTCCCACAGGAATCCCTATCAGGGTGGACTGGAATTGAGAATCCCGATAGCTGACCTTCTGATATGATTTTCATCTTAAGTTGTTGATCTCTTTTAATTGATCTCTATGGTTATTTTTTGGCTTGAAACAGTCATCTTGTTTCCTTTTGAGGCATGGGAACAACATTCTTAGTATGTAAGCGAGGGTTTGTATGTAGCTCAGTTGTTAAAACATGGACAGATGAGGCCCAGACTTCAGTTTTGGATTTCAGATGGGTTAATGCAATTTGGCTGAAGAAAACTTTCCAATTTTGATCAATTTTATAGCATTTAAGGTCATCAGTTATGAAAAATAAGAGTACCAGGACTGGAGAGATGACTCAGTGGTTAGGAGCACTGGCTGCTCTTTCAGAGAACCTGAGTTGGGTTCCCAGCATCCACATGGTGGCTAACAACCTTCTGTAACTCCAGTTCCAGGGGAATCTGACACCCTCTTCTGTCTTCTTTGGGTATTGCATGACACGGGTGCACTTAATACATGTAGGCATAATACTCATAAAAGCAAATAAAGAAAATTAAAAAAAATAAAAAACCAATAATTCAATACTCATTGCTAGAAAACCAATTCTGTCCTCTGTTCCGCTGATAGGAGAGTAATTTCACCTTCAGTTATCCAAATTTAGAAAGAGTAACATTTAGTGAGCAATGGAAGACTCAGTAACTAGGCTGACTTTATTAATAGCTCATGATTTTTGGTATTTTTTCTTACTGAAGTGCTTAATAGCTAGCAATTAAAGGACCTATTTGCCGTTTTAAGGTTAAAGTTTCTCACCTATCAGGTGTTATTTTTATGATATTTATTGGGTCTTTCTCTTTTCCTTCATTCTTGGTAGTTGCTGGTATTTTTCTGTCTTCTGTAAAATAACCTGTCTCCTTACACCTGGTCTTAACTTTGGGTATGATGCTACTCACAAGGGCTGGATGAGTGGCTACCCTATTGCCTTGCTCCCCTCTCCAAGTCTGAAATAAATTTCTAGTGATAGAAAGACCAAACATTTTTATTACTCACATTACATGTGCTTAATAGGATTTTTGTGACCACCTGCTGTGCCTGCTTGGAAAGTGTGCTCAGGACCCAAGCTTTCAGGAGTTTTATCTGAAACATCAAAGCTGTGAGTGAACTCTTCAGAGCAAATGTCAACTTCAATGAGTATCGTTTTCAAAGTAATGCTTATCATGGTTTCCAGGCATAACGAATCTCTTATTGGGCCTTGAAGTCACAAGCTGAAATTCACAGGAGTCAGTTAGAACAGTATGCATACTTACATGAAACACATCTCGTGCTTTCGCAGATGTTGGTGATTGAGAGCCCCAAAATGATACAGGCTGCCATAGAGGATTCTGGAGAGAGTATGTTGGTCCCTGGGTGTGCGTGGGTAATTTCATTAGCTGGTTGAAGCTTGGTCCCTTCCAACTTTAGATTTTGTGACTGTCTTGGGCCATCTTAAGCTTTCTAGGCTTTAGTAGAGATAGAAGTTTATGGGGGAGCATAAGTAGTAGCAAGCTGTAATCTGAGAGTGATATGTTTTATAGAAATGTATCTGTGTGTACGTATACCTCCACTGCCCCTTTCTCCTAAGTAAGTATATGTAATTTGTCCTATTATATAATACTGGCAGTTTGAAGGGTCTCTCATTAAAACATTGTTTGAAAAACCAAGTCCCAGAAAATGACCTATTCCTATGTGGAAGGGAGATCTAGAGAAAAAAATGGGTCTGTGTTCTTTAAATCAATGTGATAAAAAGTATCTGAAGAAAATGCCATTATGGGGTTGAGGGTGTGAATTTTCCCAAAGAAGGACAACTTCAAAGAAGTTCGTTTCTCTCTGGGAGTAGAAGACTTTTCTCTTATTCAGCCTCCTGCCTGAAAAAAAAGGTCTAGATCTTTAGATTGGTGGGTGACGTGCTTGTGCTCATTGTGGATAAGACCAAACAAAGTGGGAGGAAGAAATGAGTGGGAGACACAGATGACATTATCCTCTCTGGAGCGCATGGTGCTCGAGTTTGCCTTTGAATAAGGTAGATAGGCAAGGCCAGCTGGTCCTGTCAGTGGGCCTGCTTGTCCTGATTGTCCCTTATGTTACAACTGTGGCTCTTCTGAAGCACAGACCACTGTGAGTCTAAGGTATGAGTTTGCCCTTACAGTGCAGTAAGCAGTTTTGCATTCATTGAATTAATCCATGGACTATTGAGTCCATGGGCCTTGGGGTATAATTCTTCCCATCGTTATGTGTGTGGAAGTGGTTATTTCACCATTCATTGATAGTAATAATTTCTAGCAGTTTCATTTGGCATTGTCTTGATGGAGATTTCAGAGATGACTGGAGGCAAATGTAGCAGGTATAGTTCAGCAAATGGGCAAAGGCTTTTCTAAAAGATACACCAGCTTTAAGGACAAATGCATTACCTGGAGAAGTTGCTTCTAACAGAGGCTGCTTATCCAGCTCTTGCTGACGCTTCTGTTGTAACTTTGGCCTACCTCCGTCCCCTGCTTTGGGTCAGTCTTCGTTACACAGAAGAGTGGTTCTACAGCTACGGATTGTGTTT